CCCTATAAAATTGTCATTGCTCAAACAAACCATAATTTTTATATCTTTCAATCCTCTCTTTCAAAATTTGTTTATAATTCTCTCTTACTTTTAATTTAATTATATATTACCTATAACCAATAGAAAGTCAAGGTTTTCATCTATTTCATCTATCAAATTACACGTTATAATGTTGTCTTCTGAACAGAATATCATCGATTTCACTCAGAGTACAAAATTTGTTCCTGCAAACAGCTCATGGGTATTGTAATTCGATAGCATAACATGAGCTGCATGTTCCCCAAATGATTTACAATGGTGCAAATAGTAGTTAGACATGGTTCAAATGGCAATAAAACAATAATACTGAATTATAAACAGATGTATACTGTTATGAGCTTAAAGCTACTTAGGATAAACAAATGTAGTTTCATGTTAAAATTTGAAGTCATTCCCAAAAGAAAAAAAAAGAGCAATTTAGATTTTTCTTTGGTGGTTACGAGGTCGCTCGAATTGATCGATCCCATTTTCAGATAGGTTAGAGAAAATAACATATAAACTATAAAAATATAGTGCAAAAATGTTCGAAATGCATTTAGGAGGCTTTAGGGTTTACACAAAGAAAATTTGAGATGACAAAAAGTATTTCTAATTTTAACGTGAAAATTACTTTGTACACAGACTATTCAAAACAAATGCTCAATATATTTGTGGACAAATCTTTATTTTATTTTATTAAAAATACTTATTAACTGAAAAACTGCCAAATTTTGTGAAGATATACCCAATACATTAAGAGTTATAAGTATTATTTTATAAAGACTTTAAACGAGTACAAAAGGTTATGTGACTCAGTCAAATTGACCGACCCCCATGTCGAGAGAGTTAACCTTGTCTGCCTTTAGTAAGATGCCAAATGGGAGGTTTGAAAAGATCTCATGAAACTTATCTATGTAATGGAGTTCCCCAGTTTAAACATGTATGATTTCATCCCAAAATTTAGTGTTTAGCATGTACCTTCCTAGACAGGTCAATACGCATTACATATCCTCACCTGATACTGATCATAACCTTGTTGATAGTGTTCAAGCTGATTTGCACATAATGATCCTGGATCAGCCTGAAAATATAAAATGTAATTTTACCACTCACAGCGGATAAATTTCATTTCTCTGTTAAAATGTTGAAAACTCACGCACTCCAGTAATATCACAAAATATAAATTATTAATTTTGTTTTTTTACAGATGAATTCTTCTTCTTTAACTCTCTCAACACAGCTCGGTCAATCTGACTGACCAGTGACCTCTTTGTACTCGTTTAAAGTCTTTATAGATTTAATAGTTATAACTTTTAATATAGTGTGTATATCTTTATGAAATTTGGCAGTCTTTCAGTTAATATTATAAATCTTTCATATATACAAAGTCATATTTTTTAGTGAAGTATTTTTAATGAAAAAAATAAAGATTTGTCCATGAATATATTGATTTTTTTTTGAATAGTCCATGTGCAAAGTAATTTTCATTTTAAAAATACTTCTCTTCATCTCAAAATTTCTTTGTGTAATCCCATAAATCCCCTAAATGCATTTCAAATGTTTTTTCCGTAAAACTTTATAGTTTATCTTGTTATTTTCTCTACCCTGTCTCAAAATGGGATCGGTCAATTAAACCGACCTCGTAACCACAAAAAAAAATCAAAAATAAATATAAATTACCCTTTTTTCTTTCTAGAATGAATTCAAATTATAACATGAATTATATTTGTTTATCCTAAGTAGCTCTAAGTTAGTAACAGTACACATCTATCTATAATTAAATTTTATTGTTTTATTGCCCTTTGAACCATGTTTAACTACTATCTGCACCATTATAAGTTTTAAAGCACTCAGGGAATGTGCAGCTCACATGTGTGCCTCATGAAACTTTTTTATTATAATATTGTTATTTATTTTACCTAATCTAATCTTAACTAACCTAAAAGGATCCCTATTTTTACATTTCAATTACTTTTATAATTATACATAAAAAATGAAAAACAAGAAATAAAATACTTAACAAATCTTTTTTTTTTCTTGCTATTGATTGTTGAAGAGTTAACCCTAATTTTTTATACTAATGAAAGTAATGCACTTAATTTTTATTCAACTAAATAATGCACCAAAGGATATAGACTAATCATATACAAAAAGTAGACAAATTCCCTTATCTCTGAAAATTTTTCTGGCTTTCTCGCTATACAACAAGAGTCATTACAAATTCATCCAAGCTGCTCGTTAACTTTCTCATGGGAATGATGTAAGTACTGTGAGTGAAACTGACTTTTAACCATTCAGAACATAACGTTATATAATACATCATTTGATAGATGAAAACCATAACTTTCTATTGGTTATAGGTAATATATAACTAAACATAAAAGAGAACTATTAACAAATTCGATAAGAGATGATGCGACAGATTTGCCTGAGCAATGATATTTTTTTAAAGAGTAATTTACATTTAATTTTGTACTCTTTTGTGGGTTGGTGGATAAAATATGGAAGATAACATGCTAAGAAAAAATGTGTCACATGGGTCACACTTGGGGAAATTCAGGATTTTTTTAAATCTTGGCTTGTACAATTAAGAACTTAAAACTTATATACCATTAAAATATTGATTATTAGCTAAAATTTTATGCTATTCTAATTGGTATAACAAAAATAGTTTAATAAAATTTTGAATGTAAGACACTAAAACCCTGTGTCATGTGCAGTAAAGGATAGGGTTAAAGAAATATCTGGGTTTTAAGACATGTTACTAAAAAAATTCAACTTTAAATAGTTTATGGATCTAGCAATGTACATATGAGCTTGTTAAATGATACACCTGAACAGTGCAAACCTTTAAAAAACAATTTCATTAATTCTTTAGCTTCAGTACTACATGGACTGGATTAGGTATAATTTTACAACAGATATGGTCTTAACCCTTCCATTATGGGCTGGGTGGAATCCACACAGCTCGTAAGCATGAAAGTATCTATGAGAGTAATTATACTATGATTTTTGATAATGTATACACATCTTACAAAATTTTGCAGGTTATTGGTAAATATTACAAGGTTTACATATTCAAAATACCAAGTTTTTAAATTTAACTATTAAGATTTTTTAATTACAGATTTCTCGTAAACTTTTTCTTTTGGAATGTTGACTATCCAACATGCAAAGCAACTTTGATTTTAAGATTAAAAATACTTTAATGCATTAGAACATTTTCCCACGCAAAATCTTTATAATCTCTAGATAATTATCAAATTTGTTTCAGAAAAACTTTATATCTTGTTTGTTATTTTCACTACTTTTTGATTTGGACTGACTTATTAACCTCAAAAAATTAGGGAAAAAATATAAATTATGCTTTTTTCATTCTAGAATGACTACAAATTATAACACAAAAATACATATGTTTAGTCTAAATAGCTTAAATGTCAAAACATTATACATTTATATATATTTATTATTATTATATTAACCTTCCAGCTGTGCCTGGCTAACAATACAGAAGTTACAATGATGCAGCGCATGTGCACTCATGTTACCGTATCCAATAATATATAACTGACCTTTAGTCTTTACAAAGTGACCTGTCTTGGCTGTGTTTTAGTAGACTAGTATTTTGTAAAATACAGTCGCATTTCAATTATTATACAACTTTATTATACAATATTAAACTTATTTTTCTTAAACACAAAACAGTAAATAAAGAAATAAAGCAAACAATTATCTCTTATAGTTACAACCTTAATTCTCGTTCACCACTTGTCGTAGGTTACTAAGCCTTATGAAATTTCCCACATGGAAGGTGTGAAAAGAAATTTTTTTAGGTTTTATATATACATTTTAAATAACCAAAAAATCATAAATTACTATATTGATACCATAGAATTCCACTATAATTTATCAAGCTTAGTAACAGCTGTATTTGGGTCTAAAAAATATGAAATTTGAAACTGACTAAAGACTTGCCTTATAATTTGAAATATTGTGTGAAAAGAATGAAATTAACACAATAACACATCAAAATGGCTGAGAAAACCACTAGGGGGACATTCTAAGCTTTCAGTTGGTATTCATGTCATATATAGAAGTAAGTGTATATAAGAGACCATTTCCAAAAATGGAAAGAGGTGGGTGGGCGACCACTGTGTTTGATTCAGTACATGATTGATATCTTAGCAAACAGAAAAGATAAGAGATTATAATTTTTTATTCTAGATTGTCAATATCGGTAGTTCGAGTTCCTATATAAGGGACCATTTCCAAAAATGGAAATAGATGGGCAGGAAGGACACTGTTTGATTCAGTACGAGTGATATCTTAGCAAATAGAAAAGAGGTTCTTATTTTTTATTCTAGCTTGTCAATATCGGTACTTTAAAGTTCTTAATTCATACGAAACATCTAATCTGAACCACTGCAGCATTCAACATACCACCTGACACACACAAATTGATGTTTAGCTGAGTTTCTTTTAATACTTACTTTTAAATTAAGAAATTAACTAACATACAATACTAAAATTTGAATTACAATCTACAATTTGAACCAAACTTAGAGATAAATTAATAAAATTGTAGTTCAATAACATTTTGAATGCAAGACAACAAACACAATAACATGGCCTTTGACACATATCCTGTTGCAAAAGGGTTAATGCAAAACTTCTATAAATTATGCAGGCCTACAAATTTAAACTTCATAAAAGTCATTTTGGTCTTAATAAATTATTCTCCATAATTCAGCTACTCAGATTTCAAAAATAATATTCATTTTGTTCTATCACATATGGGTACTTTTTTTTTTTTTTTTTTTTTTTACAAATTGGGAAGAAAAAAACTTGCTTAGATCAGATTATTATTTCGTTCATCACAATGAATATTTTTATTATTATACTTGTTAACAAAAATACAAACAAACTGAAGAAAAGGGTAGAACACTGATATCAAACATGATATGCATTCTCATTAATCCTGTTTTTTGTGAAATCTACATATTTTAGTCTCAAAACTCTGTGTTTTGGTCTTTCTTTTATGTATTGCATTGTGATGTTTTGTGAAAAATCTGTAGTGATGGAGAAAAATGGATATCATTTTTGTATTCCGCATACAAGAATTACTGTAGAACATATAAAAATTTCAAGACAATAAAACTATCTCAGACCTGTGTTATGTAAGTTAGTGAAAACTGAAAAATATCCATACCTGATTCGTCCACTGAGCAGCTGCTAAAGCTACACTAGCAGCATTGGCACTAGCAGCACTGTTAAAAATATTTAAGAAAACAAACAATCTAGTTATCTGACACTAAGTTAAAAAACTCTGTTCTCACTTATTTAATAACTGAAAAACACCACAATGTAATATTATCTGTTAATGTTCTTTGGAAATTTTTTAGTCATTTTAAAGCCAACACATTATGATAACAAGTAATAATTGCCTGTTCCAAAACTAATACTTATTTAATCATTTATTGTACAACTCAAGAATTATTATTATATATATAGACAACAGGAAGGATTTACTTCACTGATAATAAGAATATAGGACATTAACCAAATAACTCTGATACTAATAAACTAAATTATGGATCAGTGCTTTTAAAACACTAAAAGAACAACAATTATCACCTTTTAAAGATTTATAGACTTTTGATCTATTCCATTTAGGTTAAGAGAAGTTGTCAGATTGATGAAATGCAGTGTGCTTTTATCCCTGGGAAATGAACAGTAAATGCTATGTTCATAGCAAGGCAGCTGTAGGAAAAGTATTGGTGCTTTGTGAATATGGAAGAAGCACGATAGGGTACCACGTGACATTATTTACTGGTGTCTTAGCAAGAAGAGATTCCTAGAGAAGCTGGTGAGAGTAGTGAAAACATTGTATGATGGAGCAAAGATGGCAATAAGAATAGGACAATGAAGAATTGAAGAGTTTAAGTAGAAGTAGGTCTACACCAAGGACTGGCTTTCCCCTATGTGAAGGTGATGAATGTTTTGAGCAATGAGGCAAAGAAATAAAATCTCTGGGTCTTTTTGTTAAGGCGGTGGGTGATTTTGTTATAACAGCTGAGACATAGGAAAAGTTCCAAAAGAAGTGAAGGATATGGCAAGAAGATCTAGAGAGAGATGGATTAAAGGTAAACACTGGGAAAACAGTGGTAATTTTAAGCAGCAGAGACGGGACAGTTGCAGATAAGAGATAGTAATAACTTTGATATAAAACAGTCAAACAAATATAGGTATCCAACATCAGTAACAAAGGAGGCTGTAAAGTGGAAGTAAGGGAAAGAGTAAGAGCTGGATGACATAAGTGGAGGGAAGTCTCGGGGGTGATTCTTGACAAGAAAATAAAAATACCATTGATTGAAACTTAAAGAGTAAAATCTACAAAACAATTATTAGGTCAATACTGCTTTATGGAGCAAAAACTTGGGCCATAAGAAAAAAGGTATTTTAGAAAGAACTGATATGGAGCCTGTAAGATCACAGAAAAAGCAAGATAAACAAAGCCTGAGATGGTTTGGACATGTAGTAAGAGGTGAAGAAGGATGTGCAGTGACACGAGCATTGGAAACACCAGTGAAGGGATGAAGAAGCAGAGGAAGACAGAAAATATGGTGGAAAGATATATGAGGGAGGTTGGTGCAACTAGAAATGGTGCACAGGACCATACTCTATGGAGAAGAAAGACCTAAGCAGCTGACACCATATCACAAAAGATATTAAAATCGTAAGAAAAAGACTTTTGATGCATTCAGTACTTATTATAAAGGATAAAAATTGAACAAGCCATATTTTCAAACAGCCCTATGAAAATAATTTCATATTAAAAGCATACATTCTGTTTTTGTCTCTTGTTTTTCTTTTGACCACTGATTAAAATTAAATTTGGACATACCGGACCATACCATTTTATTTATACAATATTCGAATGTAAAACAGCAAAAGCATAGCATATAAATTAAAAAGAAGGCAATATGAATAACAATTTACATTGTCAATCTTGATATATTGTTATATGGCTGAGTTTGAAATGTGTAATAACTTACCTATGCAAAACATTTACAGACTTTCTGGCATATGTTATTGTCACTGAAATATAAATAATTCCATCTTTAGTAATAGTCGTTTATTTCTTAGTATGATATTTGAAACATACATAAACTGGAATATACATTTTTTTTTTTAATAGAACAGATAGAAACAATAATGGTTGGAGACAGCTTAAATGAAGAAAAACTTTACTATAAGTTTAACATAACAGCAAATGTACAATGACATCTGATGATGACAAAACCTTGTCAAAACTTTGTACATTTGCTGTTATGTTAAACTTGTATTAAAGTTTTTCTTCATTACCCATTCAAGCCGTCTCCAACCATTATTAGTCTCAAAGTGGGTTCCTCGTCATCAAAGATAGAAACAATAGTAAAACCAACATATCATCTTGTATTAGAAAATCACAATTTATACAAATATAATATCACCATATATTCTGTAGCAAAAACATTACTTTCACATTTTCATTACTTTATTTAACTACAACTTATCACTATAAGTCTACAATTTGTAATCTGTGACTTCACCAGTCACCATTTGCTGTCTCACTGAAGATTAAATATTTCATATATTTCTTTTTCAACTGAGAATCATTTACAAAAATTAATTTCCTCAATATACATAAAAAATTAAAACAATTACTGATCACAATTAACTTACCTACCCACTTTTACACTTACCTGGTTTATCATCTATGTAGAACTGATCCATCGACAAAAGCATGTCATGTAGTTGTGTAGCTTCTGATATAGAATGCAACTCTACAAAACAAAATCCTCTGGATGTATTGGTCAAAGGGTCTTTAGCTATTCCTAAACTTTTAATTGGCAAAGAGGTTAAGTGCCCCAAAACGGAAAGTACCCTCTCTTCTGTCGTCAGGACATCAAGATTACGAAGAAGTAGAGCTGTGGGTGAAAAACAGTTTTTATTAGTACTTCTGTTATGCATGTCTTAAATTGTCACTTTGACATTAGAAAAAAGTACATCCAATGAGTGCTCAAACTAAAAGATTTCATTTAACACCTTTGCATAGTATTTTCACAGCCATATACATATAGATCAAAGACTATTCATAAAATAATGCAGTCCAAACTGATATCCTCTGCAAGTTGTTCATTATTATCTACTACAGGGCTAGACTAACAAAAGATATATATATCTGTTTATACACATTATACAGATATCTTTGTTTGATCATGCAAAAATTTACTGTTATATATATATATATTATACATAAAAACACTATAAAACAAAAGGAAAGAGACACCAACATATTTTTCAAGAGTAAATTAAAACCACAATTAAAATACACTTAACATGCATGTACAAGATTTAAGTTATACAAAAAAGACTGATCCAAATAATATATAAGCATACTTTACAAATCTTTTTGTAATTCATAAATACATCATAGTAATCAAAGAGTAAAATATGTTATACAATTATTAACTACTTCCAACACAAAACATTCTTCAAACACAATGCACATGTCAATTCTTATTCATCTCACACATTTAAAACAGCCTTCAAAACCTAAATATGGTTTATCAAGTAAAGCATTTTCTACAGTAAAATTAATTCCATTTTCCAAATATTACAGATAATCAAACCAGAGGCAAGAGAACCCACCATTTGATGGAGTTGAACTGATCTGTTCAAACCCATCTCCACTCTGCCTTTTGACTTCTTCTGCTTCTAAAGAGAAATATAATTGTATAAATTCAAAAAAACAGAAGAAATGAAAAATTAAAGCAATTTTTTTCCCACAAATGCTGAAATAATAATCACCATCAGTGTAAGTACCACAGACTATAAGATACACATTTCTGTTCTAATTATATGTAATAACATAAGAAACTTGGAGTCTTAATAGATTTGTTAAATATTCACTCTAGCCAACATCTTCAGCTGTTTTTTATCATGAGTAGAACAAAAATTTAATTTTTCTTATAAAAGAGAGTTAACTTGATAATTGTAAAGTACTTATGACCACCAAGGAACTTCACATTTCTAGCTTAAACCACACGTGGGTTATTATCATTACAACAGTGTGGTCACAAACCTCACCTCTAATTTAGGACTACTAACCAGAGTGAAGATAACCAGTTAGCAGTTCTAACAGCTAAAAGCTAAAGAAGATATTGAGTGGCATACTGCAACTGTGCCTGGCTGACATTCAGCAAATAAAATGTATGACTTGATAATTGTGGAATAAAAAAATATATAAAAGAACTTCAAAAATAATATTCAAAATCCTACCTTCTCTGGGAGAATTACATTTGAAACATGCATCTCTTCTACGAAAGTTATTCAACCCACACTGAAAAAAAAAAGTCAATGGTTAGGAAAATGAGCAATAATTCACACATTTATAAGAAGAAAAAGGAAAACAAATCTAAGTAGTCATCTATAAATTGAAAAAAAATAAAAACTCTAATGGTGCATTTCAGACTAATTAATTAATAACACTTCCACTTTTTCTGCTTATAACAAGGCTTAAAGTCTGGAGGTTGGTATTTGGCTAATAAACATCTTTTCCCCATGCATGCTCTCATTTTGTTTGCATAACTGGACTATTTTATAAAATTATACCCTTTAAAAAAAAACTGGAGTTTATAGTTTGTCAAGTGAACAATTTTTTTATAATTTTTTTTATTATTATTATTAATATTAATATATATATTACTCAACTGGTCCAACTGTTTTTTCTGCAAGTTAACCAGATTCTAGGACCAATTCAAAGTTTGATAAAAATTAATGTTTATTCATCTGTACTTGTACAATACACCAACTTTACCAACCTGTAATGTAATGATCAAAACCTAATTTAATACTGTATAGTCATGCAGGATCAATTATTTTCACCAATATTTATATTCTCTTCTCAGATACATGGAAATAATAAGAAAGAAAATGCAGGCATACCATGGATTTTCTATCTTCTTATTTTAATACAGAATTTTTATAACATTTCATTTATTCTGAATATATGTAGTTTTCACATAACATGTGATCCAAAAAACAGTTAAGTTGACTTTGTTCTTTTATTCTTGAGAAATTATACTTGCTCTGCCTCTGGGGAATATTGCTATATAAATGCTGCATATTGTGCACAAATGAACAGCAGTGTCCTTCACTAGTAATGCAAATAATATCTAAAGGTTACAGCCACCCCTATGTTGTATGAGAATGGCAGTCATGTGGTTAGTGCTGGTCAGTGTGGATAAATCTGATGTTTTGCATTAAGTAAGAAATATTAGATTTAAACATTACTACACAGGATATCAAGTGAGTTGGATGACATGAAAACATCATGAGGGAAAGGGCCAATTGATCACTTCACGAGTTCAGTACAACGTGACCGTCCAGTGTCCACAATGCAAGTATGCACACTGTTTGTCCACACTGATATAGACTGGTTTCATTTTTGTAAATACATCACGTCCAGTAACTGCAAGTTCTTTGTTTAAACTCAATTAGTTCAATCCATTATTACTTTATAAACTATCCTGCTGATCCTCCCATTATAAATAGAACCTAGCTAATACTCTCTGGAAAAATCAGTTTACACTGAACATACTACAATATTAACTTCCCATCAGAGCAAGCTACCTACTTAGATGAAATTATATTATTACACCATGAAACTAAACAGTATACTTAACCTACCTATAGTTTAACTAACATTAATGCTCTGCTGAAACTCCTATTATTAGTAGTATTAAGAAATGAATGTACTCTAATGATGATGATCTAAGCAATCACCCAGTTGCAATATGAAACTAATGGTTCTTCAACATGAATTTTGAGATCAATGAGGGTTCTTTTTGAAACAGCTGTACACCATTTCTATAGGATTATCTCTACAACTTGTAAGTAAACATTAAACAGCCACTTACTTTGCTGCAGCTCCAATCAGCTCTGTTAACATCATTACGTTTTGGTCCACTACCATCCTTAGGTATGCTGTAGTGCAATGTAGCACGATAGTCTCCACCAAATATAAGAACACTCTGAAAAAAAAATCTAAATGTAAGCCTAATACAATGGCAGACTTTTTAGGTCCCTCGCTATTAAAGATGAACCTAACTGGAAAACCTCCAGTGAAAGAAGACACCAAGCATTGGGAATAACCAACTTCCAACGAAGACAGAGCCAATTCACCCTTTAACACAAGAACTTCTTAATAATATACCACATGGAACTCCAAAAGGAAGACATGTGAAATCTTGTAGTTGAAGTAGTTCTCAGGAACAAAGAGAAGCACAGACTTCCATACTACATAGTATGAATATCTTCCCTAACTTACACTATAACTACTTCATGTAACAATCTTCACTAATTCTTTTTTTTTTTTTTATAAATCAATTATAGTTCCAATTTTTTCCCAAAAACTAGCCAGCAGAAGTTTTCTATTTTATTATCAAACAATCATGTTCATGTTTTTTCTAATGGATTTTAAAACACAAACCTTTCACAAAAAAATATTTTCTAATCATCACTGTACAACATGCAATGTCATATTATGCATAATTTAAATTTATCTTAATGGGTTTAATTTGGTACGTTTTATGTACATTTATGCATAAATCAAGTAGTTACTAAATTTTATATCAAAATGCTGAGCTCTATGAAACAATAAAATGATAGAAAGTGCATAACTGGAATTTTTATATCTAAAACACTTTACTAGTGTCCATTTTGAAGATGGCGGGAGTACTAAAATCTTGGTTTCACTTCTTTTGTTCTTTAAATTCAACATTTATCAAGAAAATTCAATAAATTATGCAAATTTTCACCACTTGCAGAAACATACAAGACTATCAACACATTATTATAAGATAAAAACTACAACAAAATTAAATAATTTCAAAATATGCATAATTCTAATTACCATAATATTTTCTTTTTTGGCATTCCATTTACATGGCTACCATGTTGTGCTACAATTAACAACATAATTTTTAACTTTTGTATTTCAGTACTTAATTCTTCCTACATTAATAAAGCACACATATTCATGAACCTAATTCATACAAATATTCCTTAATCCAATAACATTTTGATAATTTTTTCACCCCAAATGAAACCAATGATACTACAATTTTATAAAAAAAAATTTTTCTCAAATAATGTTTCATATATTTTTAATATTTAGGTCCAATTGCCAGAAATCTAAATATATGTCCAGTTTTTAATATGCAATATATTCAAATATTACTGGACAAACTTCTCAAAAACTGAAATTTCTGAATGAAAATTTATTTTACATAAGACATGCTTAATTTTCACAAATATTAATATTAATTTTTAGGATATATTAACACTTTGACCACTTTACTTTCAAAAAATCTGTACTAGTACCTTTAATATTATTGTCTCAGTTATATTTCTGTAGGATAAAGTTTAGATGAAATGTTTTTTTTTTCAAGCTGGCAACCATGTTACATAATATCTTTGACATATACCAATCATGACTTCACCAGATGTCACCCTTCACTTTTAAGTTCAAGGCCAATAGGTGCATTTTTAAAACTTAATGTACAGAAATCAAGCACCTCTTCCTTTTCACATATCATATCAGACCTAATTTTCTGAAATAAACAAGTTCGAAACATTTTCATTTATCAGTTTCTTCACTAACAATAATGTTTGATAGAAAGTTCATTTTTCTCGATTCATAATATGAATTAAATATAGTAATAATAAATATTTTTGTGAGTTTATTTACACTCCTATGATTTGGTTGGATGTTGGTAAATCAGCCCACTAATTACCTGACCACAACAACACAAAGTAGTATGAAGTTCCATAATCATAGTTAAGAAGAATTATGAGTTAAGGGAGATGGAAATGGATTCTACTCTTGGATAGAGCACTGGCCCTATTAGAGAAAGAGGTTTAGGTTCAAGCCCAAAGTTTGTTTTCACTTATCACTTTTTTCCTGTAATATAATAATGTTAGTACAGAACAGGATATAATGTTGTACTATTACAATCTATACTATGTTAGTACAGAACAGAACATAATGTTGTACGATTACAATGACTATACTATGTTAGTACAGAACAGGACATAATGTTGTACGATTACAATGGCTATACTATGTTAGTACAGAACAGGACATAATGTTGTACGTATCATAGTATAGTCATTGTAATTAATATGAGTTAGAAACCCATTTGTTTGGGATTTAGGATCATTAATATTTGCGTATGTTTTGGACATTTTTCTCAACCTCTATAGCTACTTTTATAGATAAATTAACATAGCAGGCTTTATGCTACTTAACCTCATCATATCTTAAACTTTTGTCTTCATGTATCTTGTGTGTGCAGTTTTTGGGGTCAAGAGAAATAAGTGCAAATTTTAAACTATAATTATGGGATATCGGTTGCTAAAATAGCATTTTGTTCAATATAAATTAACAGTATTTAACTATTTGATAGGCAGCTAAGCTGTTTATAAATTTATTCATTGTATCTCAAATATAAATATTAATATTATCTTATGCTACTGTACAGTTCAATGTCTGATTATGTACGTTTGTGTATTATCATTAACAATGTGAAAAATGTCTCGTGAAATACTCCTCAGTATCTATAAGTGAACTTTCCTCATATATATTTAAGTGTAAATCACTATTACAATATCAGGAATAGCTATGGATGTACAAGTTTTCCAACTGCTTCATTCTTTCTATATTACTCATCAGAATTTACTGTCTACTATCTGAACAATCCAGCACTGTATTAGACTCTAGACAAAATACTTAAATAAACTAAACTCTTCCTGCTGTATTATAGCATTATTCTCTATTGCAGGTACATGCTAATTTGTGTGTCTGATTTGATTTTTAAGCATCTATAAGCAGTGGTATTGTATTTCTTGCATCCAGATGACTGCATGTGTGGAACTAATGTTAACCCAAGTGACAAGGTCATCCATATAATCTCAATTTCATTGCCCAGTTTTCCTGTTCACTTGTTCGTGATTCTTAACTCTAAGAGTCAAATCTGGCATTCAGCTTAATTTTATTTGGGGGTATATTTAGGATTTTATTTAACATGGATACCAGCTTATAACTAAAAAAAAAAATTACAACAGAATGTTTTTTCTTTTTAAGAGTATGGGGAGTGAGGTTTTAAGTCATCTATTACAGCTACACATACTATGGTTTCAAAATTTACTTTAAAATATTTATGAGGTTTGTCCATTCACAAACCTAATTTCATTATTTATGCAGGTCAAATAAAATTCAAGAATCATTTCATGAATAATAATTCCAAATTTTTATCATTCATCTTGAACAAAATTTGTTTGAATGATCTATCATATTTTTTGATACAGTATAGCAAGTTCAAATATTTTAGAATTTTTATCTTAAGTTTTGCTATAGTTACATCAAATGTATGGTTGCTTAGAGACTAAAAATCAACAATACATTTGTTGCACGTAATTTAAAAAAAAATTACCATAACCACTTTATTTTTGCCCAAAACCTTCAAAAATAGATAGGTTACAATGCATTAAAATTTATCCTTACTGAAGTACTAATTGACAAATAATTTAAAAAGTAAATTTGTTACATATATATTTTTATTTTTTATGCACATTACTTTAACTAGTGAAAGAGTATCCTTTTCGGGGTTTCTAAACAATGTCAAGTAACTAATAAAAAAAAGTGGTCAAGGTGTTAAAACAGTACGTTGTTTGTCTCTTTTGCCCAGCTGTCATATATTTTAAACTACAAGCTCAAAAAATAAAATAAAACATTCACTGGCACCATACTTTATTACAGGAAACCAGTATCTTCACACTATTTCTTACTCCATACAATCAAATGTCACCAAAAACAGCCCAGTGGTAGGGGCACCGGACTGTAGCTGGTATGGGATAACATAAATGGGCAGTAACAACACCTGTGTAAGTTCCTTCCAGCGAACGGCTTCGGAGAGTAAGAGAAACTCCACAAAAGCAAAGCCCCGGGATGCACCTGCACGAGTATGTACAGAGTAGTACAAATATTATTAGTGTGAAACATCAGAGCTGATGGACATAAATTTAACTCCAAGTATTTGCTGTCTGTCATGGCTTTCTTGTTTTTGGAGACAAAAAATAATATGACTAAATACAGATCCAACATTTTGTTTTATATATAAAAAAACCCTTAAATTTACATGAAAAACATTTAATTTGTATAACAAGAAAATCAAAATTAGCATTATGGAAAAAAAAAGCTATATATACACACACATATATCCAAGAATAACTGGAATGGGCTGTAAAGTCAACAGTTTAAGAAATGTAACTTGAAAATTCTTAATTTGATCACTCTGACATGCGAGACTTATATTTTCCCCTCATGGGTCAAGTTTGACTTGTTTTTCTCCACTTCATCTTTAACATTCTTAGTGGAATCAATATAAAAATCTCTAGAAGTAGTATAAATAAATCATATTGAAGACTATGTTAAATAATTTTTACAATTTCCACTGGCTAACAAGAAAGTCTACACATGCCCTGAGGAAAAGCCATGACACCGACAACAGAAAGTAGTTGTACTGAGATAACTGTGTTCATTTCTGGATGGACACAGGCCATTGAAATGATTCTCACCTGTATCTTTATACTTCTTTCTCATGAGCCGGATATCTTTTGGTTCTAATCCATACCGTGACACTTCATTCCTCAGCTAAAAAATTATTAAAATTGATTATACCTCTTAAGACAAAGAAAGATACATTAAGCTAAATGTATTAATGAAAACTTTAAAAAATCCCCGACAAAAATGCTAAGTAATTACCATTGAAAGTAGACTTGTATAACTTATAACAATTTTTCTTATACTTCAATTTTTAAACTTTTATAGCCTAGAAAGCTATAGCCCATTTTCCCCTACAAGGCTTTCTACATTTACTGAATTTCCCAAAGCTTCAATTAACAACACAAACACAAAAATACATTATTGTTCCTTTAGCCTTAATAGAATATCAAGGGTATACTTACATCTGCCTCTGAGATATGAGGAGCCAATCCTCTGACCATTATTGTATTATTTGGTATTTCTTCTCGCCAGTCTCGCTCTCTTGCATAATCCCTGTCTCTTTCTCTGTCCCGATCTCGATCTCTTGACCTATCTCTATTCCTTTCACGATCCCGGTCTCTGCCACGGTTTCTATCTCTATCTCTGATACGTTCTCTATCACGATGTCCCCTGTTCCTTCCCCTTCTATCATCACGATCTCCCCTGTCACTAAAGCTATTGCACCCACTGTCTCTTCTGCCTGAAAAACCTTGTTCCATCTCACAATTGAAGTCTCCATATTCATTATCTCTTCCATAATAACCATCATTATAACTGTCGTCCATGCCATATCCGTCAAATGAACCTTGAACTGCAGACTTATAAAATAAAATATATTAAGACTGTCTCATATTTAACGATACAATTTTTTATATTCTCTTTACAAAACAATAAATACTGATTATAACTTGTATAATAACTTGAAAAACATTAAAAAGAAATCATATGTTAGATATAAACATTTTGATGTCAACCTTTTGTTTTTCACCAATCACTAACTTTCTTGATACAGGTAGATCAAAATGCATGTCACTACTTTATATGCTGGTACATTCCCATTTTAATTAAACTACTTCATTAACAATGTATACAAATAAACTTGGCAGCAAAACATAGTTTACAAGTCAAATTTTAACACAAGTTTTACTTTTTTTATTTCAAAGAAGCACAAAATGGTTACGTAGCTGGTCCTAGGGACCAGGCCTGTGCTGAAAGTGTTAATAGCTGCATCCTACATATACAGTAAGCTATAGTAAGTGGAGTGAGTGTTTCCTATTACCAACACTTCCCTCTCTGTATGGAGCATGGTGGAAAAATGGCAAGGTTAAAGCCTCAAATGGTAAAGTTAATTTTATTAATTCGCCATCCAGGTAACCTTGTTTATATTCACAGGTTGTGTAATCTTTTAAGTCATCAGTATTACTCTATTATACTAAAAAGAAAAGTAACTGATTTAATTTTATTTATTTACAAATTTATGATTTATATTTTATGTATAAGAGGAATATACACTCATTTCATTTGATTCATGTACCAATTTCATTTATATTTTAATTTGATAAATAAATACAGGTAATAATCTGTATGATTGCAGTTTATTTTTAATAGAGTTGTAAAAAGTAGCTTTACATATTAGTGTCTTATACGTAAGTTTAAATAATACTCTATCTCCTCCTCCCCAACGTTAGTTGAGTAATAATAATATACAATATAATGGGTTTATTGCTTGATAAAATCTTTTTCCTACTGATATACACCATTTTGAAAATTGATGTAAGAGAAACCACATGTTTTTTACTATGCCTAGCATTTTGTTTCTTTAAAAAGTATATCACATTGAAATCTTTACTAATTTGTAAAGACACCAAATCATACAAATACCAAATCCAAGAGTTATCATTTTCCTAATCTGAAAAATGTGTTTCCAAACATACTTAACTCCACTGACACTTATAGCTATTTCTCGATCTTCATCTTTGCCATCTTAACCTCATGTTCACTTGCTTCAGTCTTTATACCTCACTCGACTGCCTTCTGCAATATCTAATTTGCAAAACTTTACACCGGCCCTCACATGCCCTCTATATAAGGACTGTATGTCGACAGTATAATCACTTTTTTGAGACTTACTCCATCCCGGTCACAAACACTGGCTCTTAGTGGGGAGGAAGGGAGAGAGAGAGAGAGAGTGTCAGCAGAGGCAAGTTTGTTTGGAAATACATTTTCACATTAGGAAAATGAGTCGGAGTAATAGATGAATAGGAAGAAAGGCATACAAATGGAATCCTGTCCAGCCTTGAATGAAAGCATCTATCACCAGAGCTTGTGGACATGGAATAGTAGACCTGAACTATAGGCTAACATTCCAATGGGTTGCAAAGGTGTCGATCATTGGAGAGCTGAACTGAAAACAAGTCCACTGAAAGACCACTTGATGGAACATCCATGCTGGTGGAAAAATCTGATGAGGTCGAGAAAGATGATCTGCTTTCAAATTCATAATCCCTGGCACATGACAGGCCAAAAGATGGATGTCATTGGAATGAGTCTAAAAAGAAGATCCAAAGCCCGAAAACCAAGTCCTCAAGAATGAGAACTTCCCTGACAAGACAGATATGAAACCACCGTGGAGTAATCAGAATGAACCATGACCATTTTGTCGTGCAAGAGGAAGACCTGGAATCATCGCTAGCTGTACTGCAAGAAGTTTGAGAACACTGATTTGCAGGGTAGATTCGTAGTTCATCCAAATGCCTTGGAATTCCTGTCCCTGAAAAAAAGTGCCCCATATGTAAAGAGAAGCGTCCATCAAGAGATGGATTTCCACAAGAGGAGGTGGTGTCCAGACCTTGATAATCATGTTATTCCTGTCTAGCCACCACTTGAGATCTGCAAATTGTTCGAGCAAAGAGACGGTGTGATCCAAAGGATCGGTATGCATGAGCCACTGGCTGTGAAATGACCAAGGAAGGGATCTCATATGGGCCTGACCCAATGTTATGCGGGTTTCTAGAGAAGCACAAATCCCCAAAACAAAAAGAACCATCCATGCAGTGGGAGAAGGTTGAGCTTGACTCAAAGTGCACTGAAAAGCACCCCAAGATGGACTATGTATGAAGTTGGCAAGAGAATGGATTTTTCAAACCTGATATGAAGTCTGCCCTTTTGGCATCTGAAAGAAAAATATATGGATGTATTGTGGCAATGTAACAGGTTGGTCTTTCAAATAGAGATGTGTGCACATATGCACAAAATAAAGATGCTGCTCAAAGGCCCGTACTACTAGGCAGAAAACATATGGTGCTGAAGCAACTCCAAACGGGAGAGCTTGGAACTGCTACATTTGG